TGAGTGAGAGTGAGTGAGAGGGAGTGAGAGGGAGTGGGAGGGAGTGGGAGGGAGTGGGAGGGAATGGGAGGGAGTGGGAGGGAATGGGAGGGAGTGGGAGGGAGTGGGAGGGAGTGGGAGGGAATGGGAGGGAGTGGGAGGGAGTGGGAGGGAGTGGGAGGGAGTGGGAGGGAGCAAGCATCCAACTGCACTGCAGGCCTGGCCTTCTTGTTCTCCGCTCTGCTCCAGTCTTTCTATGATATAGATATACACTAGAGCCAATTTCATTTGAGTTTCCATCCCTTGGAACCAAAATCAAACAAAACAAAGCAACACCTGCCAACCCACCCACCAGGACAAACAAACAAGCAAAAGCCAAGAAACCACGCTGACTAATGTGAGCATGGTGGATGGAGCTGCAGGCCCATCTATGAAAAGCTCAGATGTCACACACAGTCAGCTCTTCTCAGGGACTAGCTGTCCACCATCACGCTGCCCATGGCTCACACAGTGCTTTTACAAAGGACTGCTTGCACACCCATGGGAAATATTTCTCTGTTATGCTTTAATTGAAAAACTGCATGGAAAATACCCAGAACTAAGTAACTAGACTTCTTTTTCTTTATAAAAAAAAATCTTTTTACCACGTTTATTAGTTGCATATATGTATGTTTATGGATACATGTGCATGCCATGGCCATGTGGGAGGTGAGAGGACAACTTGAAGGAATTCCCTCTTTCTACAGTGTAAACTCAGGTCCTCAGACTTGGAGACAAGCATCTATGTTGATGCATCATGCCAGCACTCTGGCTCTTGATTTAATGATTCATAATTCCATATGCCCTAGACACTAGGTATGGGTATGGTATTTTAGGAAAATACCAAAGAAACTTATTCGTCTTTTGCATGGACTATAATACTACCACCCACTCTGTCCCAACATCCTACCCCACCCCACCCACACCTCCTAGTCTAAACTAGTGCTGCTAGAATCACTATAAGGGCATAGCATACCTAAGTCCACATGGTTATATGAGGGATGTATTGACACTATACTATTCTGAACCATTTTGGATTTGGGGCGTGTGTGTGTGTTTAAGAATACAGACCCATGGATCCATGTATAGAGGCCAGAGGTGGACATGGCTGTCTTTCTCTGTTGCTCCCCAGCATATGTTTTGAGTCAGAATCTGTCGCTGAATGTGGAGCTCACTGAGTGGCTAGGCTATCTCTACTTCCCAGGACTGGAATTACAGGTTTGCACGGCTATGCCTAGATTTTAACATGAATGCTAGGGATCTGAACTTGAGTCCTGCTTGCACAATAAACATGTGACCCACTGAGCTATCTCCCAGGCCTGCATTTTGGATTTTAAATGCTCCTTCTAATTTTTCCTATGATGACTGAACTTCATCATCCTTCCCTTTTCTAAGGCATACACTGCCTCCCAATCTTGTGAGAACTTCTACTTAACCAGTGAGTCAACTGTAGGAGGACTATCCAGGTTTTACTAACTCTGAATATATATATATATATATATATATATATATATATATATATATATCCATCCTCCTAAATAATCAGTTACTGCAAGTGGCACCAAGGACACAGGAATGAATAAGGAAGTCATTGCCTTCACATAGCTCACTCTATTTCACTGGCTGGCCTGGTACTCCTATGCAGACCAGGCTGGCCTCACAGAGATCTGCCAGCTTCTGTCCCTCAAGTGTTGGGATTAAAGATGTATGCTACCATAGGCAGGTCAGTCTGTTTTCACAGATGGGGAAAGGAAGAAAAACAGTGTGAATGGTTGCCATTTTGCCTGCTAGGACCTTAAGTTACACAGCTAATACCTGTGAGACAAGAGTCAGAGCCTAACAACTATTCTTCATCTAATTCAGGGCCACAGAAGTCTTATGGAGGGTACTGGACCCTCCATAAGAATGGAAAATTCTCCCTTCTGAGTGGGGCATGTGGCAGGAGCCTCCACTTTACTAGGTTGAAAGGCTTGATGTTCCTTCCCAGCTCCTGTCCCAGTGAACAATCAGAGCTGAGACCTTTGGCTAGGGGAGACAGAGAAGCAAGGACACACGAACGCCTATTTGTGTAGAAGAAACAGAAGCACCAGTGAGTTCCAGTTTTCAAGAATGGGCACAGAACAAGGAGGGAGTTGACGCTCCATGATGTCCCCTTCAAGATTCTGTAGCAGCTGGGCTTCTGACCCAGGCTCAGTGGCTGAGACCTGGACTACAGTCTGACCTCCCTTGCACCTGTCTCTTTTCTGAGTCTGCTTCTCTACACTTCTTGGGAGGGGATTTTCCAAGCCCATACCACCACACACAGAAGTTTCTCTTTTCAAATAAGCCAGAGACCATTTCTGATCACAAAAGTAGAAAATCTGACTTACTGCCACATAAGATGTGTTTTTAGGCAAACAGATTAATAAATATATTGTTGTATTATTTGCATTTCATGATAGCTCACTAGTAAATGTAGACCTGAAATCTTTAACTATAGATAAGGGTGCTAAGCCTTCGAAGTCGAGTAATTCCTCCCAGATTCTATAAAGCCAAGGAGCTAACTTTAAGGTTTACCATCCTTTGTTCATGTCTCAGTCTCAACAAAACGTATTTTTCTCCAACTTCCTCATTCCTCCCCAGACTTTAAAATAGATCCACAAAGGGAAATTCACTGTCTGAGTGACTAATATTGTCCCTGTTTGGCTGACAAATTCTTACCCTATCATTCTTTTGGCACACAATTAAATTCTTGCAACTAGTTGTGTGTGTGTGTGTGTGTGTGTGTGTGTGTGTGTGTGTGTGTGTGTGTGTGTGATAAACAGGACCAGCAGGTTGCTGTGGGTGAAACAGCTCTGATATATTGACAAGGCAAGGGGCTGCATCTCAGGGAAGTGATGCCTACACTGTACCACAGAGACTGCTGATTTCCATCTGCTGTGGTGTGATGACGATGGCAGATAACTCACTCCTTACAAAATCTTAGAAACAGCAAAGAGTCAGTGAGTCACTGTCAGACCTAGTGTGGGTCCTTGGTCATAGGACACAAGTTGGCTAATATTTTTTTTAAATTAAAGGCATCCTAGGCTTCATTCTGTAAGATGAGCCCAATATCCCACCTCATTAGGTTGTTGTGCACACTAAATGGGCTAGGCGCATGTGACACTGGGCCCATCCCACACAATTGTTCAACAAACACAGAGTCCTATCTCCAAAACTGTACCCATTATAGGAAGAAAACTATGTTGGAAATACCTAGATGTCAATCTAAAGAAAGAATAAGATCAGGCAATTTGGCTAGAAAGTCTCTGTCCACAGCTACGTTGCTTCAACGTCTCACCACCATCACTTGACCTGAGGACCAGAAGAGTGTTTTCTACATCAGCAAGGGTAGAAGATCTGAGCTGAGGCACCTCTGCTTATGAGGAGAAACCCAAGGACCAAAACAAAGTGATGTCTCAAGAGCAGAGAGCCAATAGTCTGTCTCATGATCAGGCAAACACAGTTTTAACATTCACAACCAATGACAGCAGTTTTTCAGTGACTCAAAAGAAAAAGAATAAACTGAAAACAAGTACCCAGGGCACTGGGGAAAACTGGCTTTCCTTCACTCCTGAGAAAGCTAGTGGCCAAGCTAAACAGTGTGCTATGTCAACCCGTTTTCATGACTGTGTTTACATTCTATGGGATGCTGTCCATAGAATGATGCCCATAGAAAGATGCTCCAAACTTAGCAGCAGTACTGCAGTTAAAACAAAGACTTTCAGAATGTGTGGCATCCTTGCTCCAGCAACAGCCAGGTACATCAAGTGCGGCTTACATTTCCTCATCTGAAAAGGAGGCATCTGTTACCTTCATCATGCCACTGCAGAGTGAAACCAGCGACCATTGTTTGTGGTGCAGAGCAGGCATGACTTCCCTCAAATCAGCATAGCCTCTTGCCCCTTGCCTTGTCAATACATGGGAGCTATTCCAAATAAAATATTGTTTTATATATATACTTTTATATATATACTTTCTACGATACTTTCTTAAAATCCTTAATCAGAACTAAAAGGTAGGAAAATCTCACTAAGATAAACAAAGTGATTCTTCCACCCTCCAGTTTCCAAAGTACCTCCCTCATCTACACCACCCTTAAACACTGATTCCCTGTCATGCCCACACTCATGTGGACAACACTCATCTGACTGTATTCATAGGGGGTTTCCACAAAGCTGCTTTGAGCAAATGTATCTGCCAGGCACTGTGTAAGACCTTTCACTTTACAACACCTTACAACAACAAGAGAAACAGTCACTGAACCCACCTTCCAGTTCACACACTGAATCTCAAGGGTACCAGGGAAACTTGCCTAAAACCTCACAGCCAGAAACGGTCCAAGTGAAATGGAAGCAGGTCTTGTGGCCCCAGGTCTCCCACTATGACAGCCAGGAGCCTTTCACACCCAGAGATTTACTGTATTATTTACCTCTCCTTGCACAACAGAAGCCCTGAATTTTAGCAAGTCATCTGATAACTTCAAGAGCGAGGCCACATCCTTTTTCTCTACCTCCACGGATGAACAAAGACAACACCATGTTCCTAACACATTAGTCAAAATAAGGGAATAGAGTGGGGGGGAAAAATCCCCCTGACTTAAGTAATTTCACATCCTTAAAATCAAGGACATACTTATATATGTAAAGTTTACCTAATAAATAAGCCCTGCTTCTAAAGGGTCCCAGTTTCTCTTATAACATGGCCTAAATCCAAAATCTAAAGTTTGATAGTGTCCTTTCTTCTATTTTAGTTAGGCACACAAGTCTTAGTATATGTATATACATATTTACGGTTTATATAATATATAATGTAATATATGATATAATATGTAACATATATTATATATTATAATAATAAATAACCACAAATGTAACAGTAAGCAGATTAGGTTGAGCTCTCACATCTACAGGTACTTTCCCGCAGCATGCACACAGTTTGACTTTGATTCAATGCAGGCTGACCTGAAATAGTTGCTGGCTGCAGCAAGCACCACACGATGGCAAGAAAATTCCTGAAAGTCCACACACAAGATGACATCTGTCAGAGCGTTTTCCTCTCGGAGGGTCTCCAGGCCGTTCTGAAGAATTAAGGAAAGTCTCGAGTCATCAAATTTTACCTTCTCCCCATTTAATATTTCCACCAAGTCCCCCCTTTTCGGGGAGGGCTTGTCCGTAGTGAGTGCTGAGGGGCCTTCCAAGCTCCTCTCTACCACTTCGTCGTCACTCATGGTGCAGGCGCCTCTTTGTCCTGCCATCGACGTCCAGACTAAAGGAGCTGCCAAGTTTCGGGGAGGTCACACTGCAGAAGCTGAGCGGATTTCCTGCGCGGGCCCCTCCACTTATCACCAGCTGTCACACATACATAACAGGAAGTCTCACACTTTCTCATCCTGTTACTACAAACGCCAGCAGCAACTCCTCCTCTTCTTCTTTCTGTGGATAGTCACAGGGCTAGGAATCTCTTCAAGTGGACATGTGGGCCAGGAGAGAAAGGCAGCTTCTCAGAATCCCCTGGGAGTACTGTTTAGTCATCTTTTGCCTCGCACCCATGGGCGGCAAGCCTCTGGGTCTGGTTATTACCTGGTGATTCCATAACCCAAGATGTCACTGAGAATGGGCAGGTGATCTTCTCCGTCTCCCACTGCCTGAGACCCTTCGAAACCTAGCAATCTCCCTTCAGTCAGCACCACACATCTTATGCGCCACCCTCCCAGTTTAGGGAGGTGACATTGTCATGACAGCCATAAATACCTCCCACACCAAACAAGCATCTCCTGATTTGAACATCCTCTATGAGAAAAAGAGGAGAAAGTTTCCAGAAACCTCATCCCCAGGGACTCATCTCTTACCTTAGGGTAGGTCAACACCTGATAACCCTAGCAAGTCTCAATTTGGCCTGCTCTCACCCAGCACTGACCAACCATGTATTTAATAGTAGATCATGGAGTGTTCTCATTATTTTGGCAGGTCTGCATTTCTTAGTAATTGTAATTTATTAAAATCTCACTATCCTAGGGTTTTACGTGACTTAAGGCATGTTAGCCTTTATGGAAATGCATTAGCATTAGTAAGAAACTTCTTGTTTTACACCTAAGAAAACTAAGGCTCTACTCAGAGGAGGGCCAGGGCCCATTCTGCTTGCCTCCAAAACCTGTTCCCTCCAAGAGAACTGACTCCTACAACCTGATCTCTGACCTCCACAAGTTCACTGTGGCAGATATGTGCACCCCATAAATAAAAGAAGGGGTTTCTTATGTAAAACAAGAATATCAATATCAGTGTGCCAATTTGCTTTTACTCTCAATAAATGGTAAAATTATGTGAATGCCAAAGAATTGTTTTGAAATAAATTTCTTCATAACTAAAATAAAAACGTTTCCTCCAACACAAGAGACAACAAATGCTGAACTTCAGGTTTGAGTTGACCTGAAGTCTGTGTCTCCCACAGAGAGACTCACAGAGATTGCCTCCCATTGATGTCATGCTCCTGTGCACCTGATCAAAGTAGCTTCCGTGTTGTCCTCTGTCCTGGTGCACAGTGCCTGGAACCCTCTGCAGGAGTTCCAGTTCTGCTGGGCTATCTTTGTTGTCTTTGGACAGCTGTTCCTGACATGAAGGTCTTTGATAATCCTCCAAAGCTTGTTTTTGATCTGGAACTCTCACACGGGCTTATGCTTTGGGCTTCCATGGCTTTAGCAACAAGAATCTCAATAGAAGAAAGCACTGTGGAGCCTCACACTTGTCGCCGTTGCTACTGTTGACTTTAATTTTTTTTTTTATTTAAGTATTTTCTGTTTAGACTTTCATGGATAACTACTGTATCATATAAGTACAGCCTGCTGGGTCCATTTATATATGTGTGTGTGTTTAGGGCTGATGGTTTGGGATTGGATAACTTATCGAGGGTCTTGTTCCTAGAGGAGACTGATTCTTCCTTTCAGTAGCCATTAATTATTTTTTAGCTCTTCATCTATGGGTGGAGTGGTAGTGGTGTGAATGAGAATGGCCCCCATAGGCTCAGATATTTGAATGCTTGGTCCCAGTTGGTGGAACTGATTAGGAAGGGTTTGGAGGTGTGGCCTTGTTGGAGGAAGCATCACTGGAGAAGGGCTTTGAGGTTTCAAAAGTCCATGCCATTCCCAGTTAGTGAGTTAGTGAGTGCTCTCTCTCTCTCTCTCTCTCTCTCTCTCTCTCTCCCTCTCTCTCTCCCTCCCTCCCTCCCTCCCTCCCCCCCCTCTCTCTTTCTCTCTCTCTCTCTTTCTCTCTCTCTCTCTCTCTCTCTCTCTCTCTCTCTCTCTCTCTCTCTCTCTGCCTTGTGCTTGTAGCTCAGTAAATAAGCTTTCAGATACTGCTCCAGTGTCTGCCTGCTACCATGCCCCCTACCATGATGGTCAGGAACTCTAACCCTGTGAAACTGATGAAACTATAAGACCCCAATAAACTGTTCTTCTTTCTGTAAGTTGCCTTGGTCATGGTGTCATCACAGCAACAGAAAAGTAACTAGGACATAAGTCTCGGGAGACTTCCTCCATTCGTACTGGCATGCTAACTGGTGCTGTCACTTTGCTGGTTTTGTTTAGGAAACCATATGGTTACGATTTCGTGGGTACGGCTTCCCTATCATATTAGAACACACGATCTCTCAGCAGATGCCCTGGTCCTCTGGCTCTTACAATATTTCTACCCTCCTCTTCCAGGATGTTTCCTGATTTGAGTTCCTGCATTTTGACCATTATACATTTCTGTGATGGTCCACATCTGCTGCAAAAAGAAGCCTATCTGATGACAGGTGAGAGTTACACTTCCTCCCCAAAATGAAACAAATTAGAAAGTTGCCTGGTCTGTCACCTCTACAAGTAAGTCTGGCTAATTTGGACACATAAACATGGCCACTGGTTCAAAGTCTGCTAACAGTGTAACAGTGCGAGACATTGCTGGATTCCCCTATCTGTTCCCCTGTATGATTGTGTGCTAGCCACTGTTAGTTTTCCTCTCTCTCTCTCTCTCTCTCTCTCTCTCTCTCTCTCTCTCTGTGTGTGTGTGTGTGTGTGTGTGTGTGTGTGTGTGTCCATCAGTTTTGTTTCCCTGTATTGACCAGTGGTTTTCTTTGGAATGAGATCGCCCTGGCTAAACATTAGTGCCCTCTTGTTTGGGATCTGAATTCTTTTGGCTCTGTCAGGTCATCCAGGGAAACCTAAAAAAAACAAAACAACAACAAACAACTTCCATCTGTTCCACTCCTGGAGCATCAGTCCCACTCACCGTCAGAGTCAACCAGGGTCTGCCCCCGTCCCAGTCCCTATGTGGAGTTGAGGGAGGCCACACCTCTCATCCAGGGCCCTGTATCATCTATGCAGAATACACACATAGAGGAGGAAGTGGCTCCCAACTCCAAAGAATAAGAGACAGGTTCGGGGGTTCCAGGTGTGGTTGGGTATTGCTGTTTCTGAATACTAGAGTCTTCATAAGCAATGAGGCCTCTATACCCCAGCACAAAGCAGACTGAACTTCAAATCTTAACTGAGAGTCAACAAAAGATATATGAGACTTTACTAACAATTCTGACTTCAGCTATAGCTCTAGTATTTCCAGATGTCTCAAAACCTTTCCATTTGTTTATTAAAAGACAAAAGAAATTTTAACCTAAACTTTAGGTCCATGGAAATGCCCTGTGACATACCTGTCTGAACAAAAGGACCCTATAGGCACAGGATAGCCCACTGAAGAGTTGCATTGGCTACTGCTAGTTTAATGGGGGGAGGGAGTTAACTCTGGGTCAACATCTTCTATTCACAGTAGCCCATGTGGTTGAGGCCCTCCTCCAAGAAACACCAGATTGCTGGTTGTCTAATACCTGTTTGGCCCTGTACTAGACCCTACTGCTGGTCCAAATCCCTCAAGTCTTGTTTGAGAAACCCACCGCCATCAATCCTGCTACCCCCTTACCTGATGATGACCCAAAGATGCTTACCCATAACTGTCATGAGATGAACTATAAAACCAGGTACATGGAAACTACAGTTGACACTTTAAAGGAAATGATTTGGTCCGAAGCCCAAGAAAGCAGAACTCACTGATCTGACACAGGCTCTCAGATGGGAAGAAGGAAAGTCCATCACAATATACACAGACAGTGTGTGTATGCTATGCTTTTACTACCATGCATAACCACAGTATGATCTATGGAGCACTATTTAGTGGTAAAAATTAATGACTTCTTGAAATTTGCAGGCAAATGGATGGATCCAGAAAAACCATATTGAATGAGGTAATCCAGACCCAGAAAGACAAATATAGTATGTACTCACTCATAAGTGGCTTTTTGACATAAAGCAAAGAAAAACAAGTCTACAGTCCACAACCCCAGAGAACCTAGACAACAAAGAGGACCCTGAGAGAGACATACATGGATCTACATAGGAAGGACAAGATCTCCTGAGTAACTTGGGAGCATAGAAGTCAAAATGTTAATATTTTAACAGCAACGACAAAATAAAGCACCTAAAGAAAAGATCTTTCTTTCTAATATTCTTTTAGCATATTTAGAGTATTAAGTAAAGGTATTCCAAAGTTCAAAGGCATTAACATCAAATGTTGTATCACGGACAATATCTGGGGTCATAAGAGCAGGACAGCTGACCCTGGCCCTAACCTGGGCAACACAGTAGTGCTGACCCCATTGACAGGAGTGTGGCTGAGTAGGCCGTGAGAGTGGCATCTGCCATGTGGTGGTTTGCCTGAGGGAAAGATGCCCTCTCCACCTTGTCCATCACCACCTTTGACCTATGACAGGTGTGAGAGCTAGCCTGAGGGACGTGAAAGCAAGCAAGTTGGCCCTGTCCCTCATCAGTTGCAGCACTCAGGAGAGTGTGTCCTGCACTTCACCTGGGCAACACTGGAGATCTGGCCCTGGTGGTGTGGGTACAGGAGAGCCAAGGCCATGACAGCAGGAGAACTGGCCCCACACCTTGCTGCCTGCTTCATTGGGTGAACTAGCTGGGGCAGGGCTGGAGAGCTCACTCTGGTGGTGAGGCTAGAGGAAGCTGGTGGGCTGACCAATCCTGCAGTCACCCAAGCCCAGAACCAGAAGCTATGAGTTGGGCCACTCCAACATCCACCCCATCTATGAGCTGCTGGAGCAAAGGGGCAGAATTAAAGCTACAAAATCTCCATGACAGAGGGAAATGATAGGATGTCAAAGAAGAGTGCCAGTGCGGGCCCAGAATGGAGAGTGTAGAAGAAGCCAGAGGCCTCG